AAACAGTCAATTACTTATATTTGAGCATGTTGTGCTCTAAGCAGTTCAGTTTAAGCGTCAAACTTCGGCCTTATTTTCATTGAAGCCGGGCAAGTTCAATCGTTTAATTAAAGGGACAGGGCCGTTCCTAGCGTGATAATTGGGGCTGTATATACATATTATTCGTCTTCTGCCCGACGGATTTCTTTTGAAAGCGATTGTTTATCGAAAGGATTTCTTTTGAAAGCGATCGGTATCCAGCATGAATATATGAATATCCCCCCCCCCCCCCCATTATCGCGTCTACGAACGGCCCTGTTGAGGGATATGATCGGAAATAGCATGAATATAGAAATTAGATTCCCTTATCTGAAAGAACTTTTAAAATGACGCGGAAAACATTTTAAAGCTTTTTTTAAATCTCGCTTATTTCTCGACCTTAAGAAAAGCTTCTGTTGTGTTGGAGCTAAACTGTGGAACTGATTACCTAAATGCAATTGACGCTTATAACGAGGGTCGAGGGTCGTACGTCGAGGTCGAGAGTCGAAAATAGTAAATTTTACAACCATTTTGAAAGCTTCCAAAAGCGGCAAAACAAGTAGTTTTGCTCTCAAAACTGAAAAATTTCGCCTACGTATACGGCTATAATCTATATGTAGCCTATACTGAAGTTTCGCTGAAGAACTATAAGTCTGATGCGAGGTTTGATGTTTGAAAGTATGCGTATTTTAATATACATCGGAATTTAAAATATAAAACATGGGCGATGATCAGAGGCGATGATACAAAATTTGCGTTTCGCCAGTGCTGTAGCTAGCTCGATAATTGGGGGGGGGCAGATATTCATATATTCGTGTTCACAGACCATAAAAAACAATCGATTTCAAAAGAAATTAATAACGCAGAAAACGAATATATGAATATCTGCCCCCCCCCCCAATTATCGAGCTAGCTACGGCACTGCGTTTCGCTCTCATGAGAAATTTGATTATAAGAGGCTGTTTGTATGGTCCCGCTTACCCGGGATTCAATGAAGTGTAACGTATTTTGATCGAGCAATTGAAATACGTGTTTCAGCCCTAAAGAAAAGTTAGATAACTTTAAATATTTTTTAAACGAAATTAGGAATGCGCCTGAAGTTATGTAGTGAAAGAAGACGATTAATAGCATTCAACAAAATTTGGTTTTTTGTTTAAGACATGGAATTTCATACAATTTGTAACGAGCAATTTTGTTATATCATGAAGTGCGACTAATTTACATTGCTCAAAATACGCACGTCACACTTCATTACATTCCAGGACCCGGGGAAGCGGGACCATGGCCCCAACTTAATGGCATGGCGGCGACGTACAGAGTTCTGAAATTGCTCAGAACTTCAACTTAACGATACTCCCTATAGGGTATGACATCGTGTTTACAAATCTGATATGTTGGATAAGTTGCAGAAAAGTATGGGTAATATCTTCATTTTTTGCAGTTTGTCATGGATAATGTAGCTGCTTAAAATTAATCAATTGTCAGTATTTTAAGGGTATATTATTTAAATGATAAATAAAGGTCCGCATGATTTTGAAAAAAGAATGATTATTAGCAAATTGGTTTCTTAAAAGAGCAAGTCGCTTACATGCAGTTATTGTGCATATAACAAAGTAAATTCAGCGTATGATTGTTCTATACATCAGGTTTGATATTACTTTATAATTTCTGTGTATTCGGAAGTTTATTTATACAAACTGTCAAACACGTCACTAATTACATAGACATTGTCATTGTAGTCACATCGCGAGTTTAATAAAATCTAGCCCTAATCTCAATGATTTATGCGACTACTTCAGAGAAAACTAAGCACATATATTTCAGTTTGAAAAAAGTAGATAATACGGATTGATTTTACGAGTTATCGAGACTTTGAGTAGTGGATTTAAGCATGCTATCAATAACTGATCTTTTGTCTATTAATTATTACGTGTCAAGTCACGCGCACGGAGCTTTTGCAACATGATGTTCATATTGACTATTTATTTCTCTAAAATCCCGATAAACAAGCAAAATAATTTAAAATAATTTATAATTTATCTGTCAAAACTAAATAACAAGAGAAAACAAGTATAAATGCTCACGTTTCGACAGTCTATCTGAGCAGGCTGTGTCTAGACATACTGCCTGTCTATAAGTGTCTGTCTACATAATCGGCTGTATATTATAGACATTATAATTTCGTGATAGCAAAACACCCCATAATATTTTTTACACCAGATTTGAGAGCAACATTTGCTCATACATTTGTCTAAGTTTGAAGGAAATCGGATTTTTACCGGAAAGGGAAAATTGATTTTCAAAAAATGTACCAAACTTAAAATTTTTTAACTTAAGGTTTTTCTTGTGATTTTCCCGATATTATAGTCAGTATAATTCCGCCGTAACAAAAAGCCCCAAAATAATTTTTACATCAGCTTTTAGAGCAACAGTTTCTCTTTAAATTCCCTAAATTTCAAGGAAATTGGAGTTTTCCCGGATACGGAAAATTAATTTTCAAAAAGTGTACTAATTTAGAATTTTTTGGATCGCAAAATAAGGCGATTTTTACATGCTTGCCTTGACTTTGAAACATCATTTAAAAGATTGCAAAATAGACTATCGTTGTTTATAAACATCTTATATACACGTTTAAAAACCGAAAGTGAGGTTTCCTGAAGACGCGAACTGAGCAAAACGAAGTTTTCGAGAGGCTATGACTCACTATGTTTTTAGCTAATTTCACGAATCTTGGGTACATGTCAGGTTTTGATAATTTTTCGGCGTTTAAAATAATATTTCAGAAAACAAACCCCATCACGTTTCTAAGTATACATTAGTGTATCACTTCACAAAATAAGAAGACATTTCATTTTTCATCATGTGCCACCAGTTGTTCGGTGATAGTGGAGATTCCCTCTTAAGCAGCTCTTGACGGCATCCTTCGCCAACTCCTGGGAACCAAATCCTTTCTCGCCCAATCGTTGCTTCCTGAGCCTGAAATTCGCTAACGCAATCTCGATTTCTCGACAACGAACAAAACAGGAAACAAAAAACAGAAAATTAGGGATTGACCTTTGATATCAGTGTAATAACCTTATTTCTGTTTTGTTATTTGTATTGATATTGTGTAAGGAGCCCACTGTAATTGGTGTTAAAGAGGGAGTATCAGGCTCATCGCGCCTTGCGCGCTCATTCCTTCAGTCGGCCATATTACGGTGCCGCGAAAATGGCCACCATGCTGTATTTGAGGATTAATGCGGAATATGTGCGATATTTGAACAAGCGTGTTATAAATTATTATTTTTTTCTATTTCCCTTGGAGCGTAGACCGTGTTAGAAGAATTGTTTGTTTGTTTTGACCAATAATACGACGTAATTTTCCATAAATTGGTGTATTTCCTTCCGAGTCATGGCTGGAGCATCGCCTCCGAAGCGTGAACGGCCAAAGAAAGATGAAGCAGTCGTGCGGATATGATTAAACAAGCACATATATAACATGTGGACTACAAAAAAAGATTCTGTTGGGTTCTCGACGAAAACGCATAGTGAATTTGCAGAATATGTTATGATGAAAACATACAAAGGTCTAAGCATCCAAACTCTTACACTAGTGGCTATGTTATACATCTACACACTAATGAATTGATTGGATTTTCAAGTGTTAACATACAGTTCTGTATTGTTTTAAAGCGAGAAGGGTTCCAATTTTGGTGAAATTTTCCTACAGACAGAACAAAACCTAGAACTTTCCAGTAACGATGAAGATGAGTAAGTATTATTTATCGTCATATTAAGTATTTTAGTAATTTTTTCCCCCATAGCATACTTCCATATATAATTTAAGATAATAGCTTTTGTAAGTTTCTCGAAACTGTTCTGTGGATTCTGTCCTCTCCTCTCCCTCTACACAGTGTCTACAAAAAGGAACCCATTAACAAAAATAACAAATTAATTGTGTATTCTACTCAAAACAGCAAATAATTTGAAAAGAATGCGCAATTAAATTTTTGGAGTCACCCCGTATTTCAAAGTATTGATCAGAGAGGGTATATGGCTTCTAATACATAATATATTTTTGGTTTTCAGTTTTGCAAAAGAAGCTGACGATAAAGAAACATTAATTAAGTGTCATATAATTCGATGTGCATAATAGTTCTGATTCTACCAATGTTGTTAAAAAAGACATGGATTATAAGTTATTCAGAAGATAGTGGAACGACTTATACTCAGCAAAAGCCAGAAAGCTTGGAAGAAAGGACACAAAGACATAAGCAGAAATTGAAAACAGTATTCAATTCAATGCATCACTCTGGGAACTGCGCATTTTATGCAAGATCGTGTAATTATTGATGTTTCTACAATATTGGAGAAATTTAATAATAGTTGTTAGCATTCATCTTGCCAAGGAACAAGCAGAGTGGCGAAGACATATATGGATGCTGGTGTTCTTAAAGTGTCATGGAAATTTTCTGAAGGTCATTTTGGATTTTTGACATCTTCGCGAAAGCCTTGTGAGAAGACTGGTCAAAATATTTATGTGAATACATTGTTGCTAGCTGCAGCAGTATTGATTTTGGGCAATAATTTTGACAAGATGGAGTTGTTCAGCATATTTCTTGGACTTAGCTTCATTTCTAAGGCTACATACAACCAAGTACAAACTCATTACGTCTTACCTGAAGTGAAGATATATTGGGAAGTGAAAAATAAAATCTGGGATGTTTTGAATGCCTAATCAACAATACTGTGTGGAGATGGCAGAAATGATTCTCCTGACCATAGTGCAAAGCACTGTATGTATGCACTGATAGAACAACACCTGGAAGTCATTGTTGATGTAGAAGTTGTAGACAAACTAGAAACAGGAGGAGTTTCTACAAACATGGAAGTGTATGGATTAAATAAGATCCTGGAAAGAATTGTTGGCCAAATCATGGTCTCTGAGATTGTAACTGATGCATCAGCAGCAGTTATTGCCCGAGTACGGTACTTGAAAGGTACAAGTACTGTAAAGTATAGAATGGATAATAATGAAAATGTGGATGATAATGAAAATGTGTAATGTTGCTGCAAGGTTTTACCAATAATTTTCAGTATTGCCATGCGATAATGCCAAAAAATAGAGAACAAATATGGCCTGCCAGTCTAAATTTTTTTTTGGCAGGTGAAATGAATGCTAGCCTGCCATTTTTATTCATTGTCATTGAACTGCCAAAATGGCGATGTCTCATAGAGTTAATATTGTAGACATCAATATTATCGTGATATGCATTTTTATTATTTTTAAAATTGTCATTTAGTACAGTGAACTTTGATTTACTTTTCAAATATAAACGTATTTACTCAACTAAATGATCCATTATATATGAGTTGTTGTATGCAAATGAAATGAAATATATAGATCTATAGAATTTCATGATCACCTGTCATTTATATTTACTTGTCTTGGCTGTTGATTTTGCCTGCCAGTTCTAAAATATGGCCTGCTTTAGGCCATTGACAGCCCGCTATTTCAAGCCCTGGTTATGATGCTGAAAAATTTAGCCATAAAAGTACCATGAAATTCCAATAGCACAATTTGTTTTGTCATGTTTTCCCAGACAAGTACCCAGACGATTTTTCCCATCTCTTTCACGCTTTTGATATTTGGCACATATCTGTCAAACTTACCAAGAAATTTACTAAGGTAAAAATTTGTTGTAAATATAGTACCTTTGCACACATTTGTTGGGGCAAATCTTAAAACAGCTTGCAGCTTAAGATATTACCACATCTGATGTGTTGGGAGGCCCCTCATTGAGCTATCAATAGCTCATTAAAGTACATTTCAGTAAAAAGTTTCTGTCATTTTTTATTTCAACATAATTATTTTAGGCTGCCAAAGTTATATGGTGTGAAACAGTGAGCCAGTGTCTCAACCAATCAGGAACCAGTTTTGGTTTGTTTGTCAAAATTCTAATGGGGATGACGAGAAACTTAAGGTTACTCTTGTTTTATTTGGTATCATTGTTATCTGGTTAGATTTCCTTTTGGACTTAATTTGGCAACATACAAGTTATTTACATGCAGTTATTATATTCCATTTAAGGATGACTGGTTCGGAATGCTACATCACATTGCAGGTGAACATTAGAGGATAGATGTAGAGTGCCAGCATGGTCCTTTAGTAGCAAGTGAAACAGGCAAGACATACCTAAATAAAAATAGCAAAGCAATGGAAGCTGTCCTAAGGTGATACTTGTGGTTAATAGTGACTTTGGGATAAGCTGGTAAGTGAGTAAGATTTGTCAGACCCTGGTCACTCGGTCTGATAATGTATATTACGTAGTCATAAATGGTCTATTTGCTTGACCTTATAGGAATGATGCATTTATAGGGAGGACGTATCTTGGAGCAACAACCACGTGTGTTTCGAAAAGCAGCTGTAACCAAATGTGGCCAAACCAAAGTACAATATAATAAGGTGTACAGTAAACCATAAAAAAACTGGAGGGTGCATGGATGAAGTACAAGAACGAAGAGAATCAAAGAAACAATGTCAATCTCAGAGAAGTATACACATTTTCTAGGACAAGTTATTGTAAATGTTTTTAGATTTTGTGATTACCATTTATTAAGAACAAAATGTCAAGCTCTCTTGAAGTCCATGCATACACCATCATTAGCGGAATATATAAATCAAATTGCCAAAACTACAAATGATGAACACACCTTTCTATTACCCTTTCCCAGCTTTTTGTATCGCCAGAGATTGTACTGGCCATATGCAACCTTTCTGTAGCTGTTTGTTGAGTAATCTGGTTCTTGAGCCCTAATGGCACACCTTGATCTGAAGAGCATGACCAAAACCTCTCTGTCTGTACAGGTGTTTCTGAATGTTACATATGATGCTAAACACCTGATTTTACCACAACACTTGTTTTCTTCATCAGTGGGCATAGGCCGGCATACACCACATTTACTCCAAGCTGGCCTTGTGCTGGCCTTGTGTCAGGGATTTCAGTGAGGACTACGGAGAATTCCATGCACTATTGTAGGGAATCTTAGAGTGTTTCTAATTAGTGTCACTATCCTATTAGTATTGAAATCGTTCCTTTTTAAAGTTATCTTCTTCCTTTCTTTGTCGTTGACTAGTTTCGTTTGAGCTTCAGTAGCTTTTCATCAGTAAGTTTTATTAAGTCTACGTTCACTGACGAATTTGGATTGTGCACGCCCTTTTATACAAACAGTTGAGGGGATCTTGTACACGTGATATAGCAAGTGGTGTGATTTGTATCCAGCCAATCAACGTTGAGTTATCAAAGTGTGGGATGGCGTTGCTAGCTCGTTCCAGCCCTCAGCCCTGTTTATTTAAGGCGTTGTAGCACTTGTCGAGTCGGTTCGCTGCTCAATCGATCAATATTAAAATATGTTCGCAACTTAAAATACTTTAAAGAAACGGGCGCTGATTGGTCAAAAGCTCAAAAAGCCTGTGATTCTATAACTCGATAGAAACAAAAGTACGACAAAATAGAAACGAACACAAAATACAATTAATATTTAATTTTCAAAAAAGTTGAAAAACGTCCCGAAACGCCGAAGAACCGTTACAAAAAAAGGCAACACCTTGCTAACTTAGAAAGCGAAGACCTAAAGCACAAAGTATAATTATAGCACACATTGTATCTGTTTGACTGTTTACCAAGGAAAGATATTTCAATTTTACCTTGTCTTTTTAAAAAATATTTCCTCGCGACGTTTTTTAATCATGTTTACTATAGTTTTTAATCAAGTTTAAACGTTCACTAACTATTTAAAACAGTGCTTTCTTTGCATGCAAGCATGTACGTTATTGAGTGAATTATATACTTTGTAAAGTAAGCCTATTAAGTGCTGTCTGTTGTTTTGACAGCGATATACTTGTTTACTTCGCTATATGCTTTTATAATTATTCTTTACACGAACGTATATTATTAAGGTGGAATTAATATTTGAATGAAAGCAATTAAAATCAATAAATTTATCTTTTCTATTGTTTTTAAAAGGCTATTTAATAAAAGAAATAGAAAACATTTTCTGTGTTTCTATAGAGTTTATAGAAACACTTGTGAAAGTTTGGGAGAAACTCGAAAATGCGTGAAAACACTCGCGCTTCGTGCTCGTGTTCCCACGCAATTTCTCGTTTCTCCCAAACTTTCACGCGTTTTTCTATAACTCTATAGAAACACAGAAAATGTTTTCTATTTCTTAAATGTAAACACAACCCACCATGCAAGGTTATCGTCCAACTTTGACAAATAATTTATCTTGCCTGATGGACAGATAATTGGCACTTTTACACAAGTCCGAAATTATATGTACTTTATGTGCGTTTTACGGCAAAAATTCTCATTATCTCTCCATTTGACGTACCTAATATTGTATCTATAATTTCCTCGGGTGCAAACTGAACTATTTTTATACTATTTAGATATACTTTCGTAACACTATGGACAGATCGTTATAGATAGATAGATCGTTTATCCCCGAGCCGACGGCGCGAAGCGCTGTGCGAGGGTACTAATTCCCCCCGGCTATTTACGCTCGGGGAAACGAAGGCATTAGCGAAGTCTAAAGTTCATCAAATATCGCGGGCGTGGGTCACTGTGCGTGGGTGGTCATCCTCACTGATCTCAAAAATATGGCGAACTGTCATGAATAGCGAGCACTGCGAGTGGTCCAATTTAAAGTTTGCATTATAACGACTGCATCATGACAGCGAAATAGCAAACATTTCTTGATTTGATGATTGATAAATTTCTTGCAAATATATTTCATTGTTGCTCGCATTTTTGCAAGAGTTTGTAAAATTTTCAAGAAAGAAAGGGCGAAAGAATCGGCTAAAAGAACGGAGCCGACGTTAACGAAGGTAAGTTTGTCTTAAATACTGATTTTATAATTGCTTTAAAACCCGACGGCCTTTGCGTCACAACTAAACAAGACGGCATATAATTTAATTGCATCTTTTATAATATTGATTCCCTTTTTTATTATATTGAATTTTTTAAATAAATAAAAAAGAAAACAAAGTTAACGTTATTTGCATGCGAGAATTTGAAATCATTTTATTGCAAACTCAAAGTTTATCGATAAAGCCATTTAATTAAAGCAGTTTTATAGTTTTATAAAGAACACTTTAAAACATTTTGCGAAGCGTTTGTGTTTGAATTTTACCTTAAATTGAATCTTATATTACGTATAATATCATACCTTACATATATATGTTGGGAAATTGATAATTTTGTAATTAAAAGTGAAATTTTTAGGTGATATTTCATTTGTAAGAATCTTCTTAAAAAATTATCGTGTTCCATAACTACTTTAGATACTTCATGTTCGGAATATATAATGGTTTTGTCAGCAAGGCGAAGGTTTCTGCATGCATGTATTTTCTAGTTAAGAATTATAACCTTGATTTTACAGCAAAGAACTGAATTTAAAAAGGTTTTACATATAAAATTTAAAAAATTTTAAGATAAAATGCTAGAACTACTGTGGTCATTATATCGTCCAGCGGCTGCAATTATAAA